TACCACTGTGGACAGGTCCCACAATTGTCTCTGTTGCACTTTGTAACCCCTCTTTTCTGTTCTTTTTGGGAAGGGGCGGTGGGGTAGCCTAGTGGTTAAAGCGTTCGCTCGTCACGCCGAAGATCCGGGTTCGATTCCCCACATGGGTACAATGTGTGAAGCCCATTTCTAGTGTCCCCCGCTGGAATATTGCTAAAATCGGCGTAAAACAGTACTCACTCACTCACTCTTTTTGGGAACTTGAAACAAAACTAGCGATGGTTAAGATTTCCCGACACATGTACACCGGGTGAAGATCCGGGTAAGAATTTCTTCATCCAACACTGGTCTTCATCCAACACCTGGTATTTTGAGACTATTAAAACAACGTAAATATTTTGCTAGCAATGTTCCAATTGGGTACGATATCTGTGGTGTTATTGCAACACGTACACAATTTTGAGACTTGTGAGTCGCAATCAAAACACTTTTCTAAATATTACGCTGTTTTCAGGAAAACATTTTACCAAAGGTGTGTACTTTCTTTTGAACGTCAGTGTATCGTGAAGTCTGATGTAGGCCAATGAATGCAACATCACAGAAGGACACAGAGCTGGTGTTAATAATTGATCGAAAATTACCTTGTGTCCTGTCAAGGAGATTTGGGTGTATAATTATTATGATGATGTGTTTCCTTTTCTGGGGAGGAGATTACCGTTATTTCCATCACCCGTTCATGCGAATTAACGATTGGATACTTTCATTAGTCCACATGTCAGAGAACATGTAATTGACATCTCAAAAGCTTACATCGAGCAAAAGACGCTCCTGATGTCATTTTTTTTTACATGGATGTTAGACCGTATCAATACGAGCGCCGATTTTATATCTTGCAACAAAAACTGCCAGTGTAGATGAAGAAGAATCAAGCGAAACGGAGGCACCACCTGATGTCAAAATAAAATAGACGATTTGATTTATCAGCAATTTTATTTGTCAGCAAAATGTGATACAGTTCCAACCAGAACACATACCCCTATAATAGATAACCAATCACTAAGAAAATATTTTTGAGATGTGATTGCAGTTCCTTTTGTGTTAAAATGGTGACAAAGTGTCGTAGAAAATGTTTTTAAAAACATTTTATGTTTGAGGCGGGGAAAAATAGAAATTGTCTCGTTGAATTATTTCATTGAAAACATTAGGATCCTAGTTCTCATTAATAAATCATCTTGTTCGACAAATTCAACAAAATTAAAAATAACGAATGAAACACGTAATTCATTGTATTTATAGATAATGTTTTTTTCGGGTAGACAGTATTTGGGGCTCCAAACCGGAACGAACGTTATATAGAAACATTTTCGAGCTCATGGGGTCCTCCTGAGAGGTTACGTAAGTCCCAATACATTCAAAGTGAGTTTAAACCTACTACTATTTTTAATCGCACTATATCTCTTATTTTAATGTATGGCTAGATTTGTCTAAATTGCTAACAGCTAACGGGATGGTGTAAATCCAGCTAGGGTCCATGCAGGAAGCAAAAGTACTGTAAGTCCCCATGGTCCCTAGTATGGTGATCTACCTTCAGTTGTTGGCGATCTATAGCCGGGTTTTATATTGTATTGTCATATATAGTTAAAATGTTTTAGTGTTAATTACTAGGTTTGAAACTGAAATCTGTGATAAACTAGTTGTTTACTGTCCTTCGCTGACAGTTTTTTTTATAATTTACCTTTATTTATTGTAAAATTATAACTTGTTTGTAGTCACGATATGGCTGAAATATTGCCGATGTGACTTCAAATCTTAACTCACTCACTTACTCAAGCTCATGGGAAATCTCTTTCTGTTTTTAATGATAAATATTTCATCACAACCGAAAACTGCCGCCCAAACTATTTACCTCGTCCGTGGTGCCTATTTCCATTGATCGTTGACGCCGTGCAACGCCCAGGCAACACAATACCCCATTAATTACAAAAACGACAGAAAAAGCGGTTTACATTACTGTAGCGCTTGATCTCAGGCCTCATCTGACCTGAGTCGCATATGACGTCAATATTGGGGTACATGTTTCTGATGACCTTATCCTTAAGCCCAGGCAGTTTTTGTAGTTTTCCAGCATTCTCATTTAAGATGAAATTATGTTTAAGAATTATCAGATTTCGATTCTTTATTTCTCCACTGACCACCAACTGTTAAATAAAAGCATTTCAAAGCTAAATATATTACGTACATCAAGATGGCTGTGTGCATAGTTTAGCATTCAAGTCTTTAAAGCAAATAGTGTATAAGTAAACTGGTAAATTGTGGTTGCAAGTACGAAATTTTAATTGCAGTTCAATATTAGCAACAAAATGAAACAGGGTAAATTGTATTTTTTTTGTGTGTGTGCAAAACTGATTTCTACTTTACACTTATTGATAGGTATCAAGCATCTCAGCTGCATTCGCGCCCCTTTTTAGACGCCATTTTTTTATATCTAAGACTATTGTTTTGATATTGAGATTAACCCGTTATTCTGATACTATTTTGATACTGAAATTATCTCTTTATTTTGTTGAGACCCCTAATCTGCCATTGTCATTCACTTGTTTTTTGACAAGAGGACGTCATATTTTTTGTAAACACTGAAAGCAATACCTACCCGTCCTTTCATATTTGCATATTCATCCACATAGTTAGCAATATGTATGTATGTATGTATGTATGTATGTATGTATGTATGTATGTATGTATGTATATGTGTATGTATGTATGTATGTATGTATGTATGTATGTATGTATGTATGTATGTATGTATGTATGTATGTATGTATGTATGTATGTATGTATGTATGTATGTATGTATGTATGTATGTATGTATGTTTGTTTGTTTGTTTGTTTGTTTGTGTGTGTATATATGTATATATGTATATGTACCTATGTATGTACGTATGTATGTGTGTGTGTGTGCGCGCACGTGCGTATGTTAGTGTGTTTTGTGTGTATGTATGTTTTAGAGCGGCATTGTGTGTGTGTGTGTGCACGCGCGTGCGTGCTTACGCGTGTCCGCCCCGCTCCTCTCTACTCCACTCCACTCCACTCCACTAATCAGCCATGCAACTCACACCTTTACAGTACCTTCTCTTCACCTGCTTTTCGAGGACAGTGTTTGTAGCCATTTTTAAACAGACAGTAGTTTCATGTTTCATAAAAAAAGAGTCAATAATTCTGTTTAAGTGCATGGCAATGAGCTATCATTTTGCAGACTGCGCACAAAGGGCAAAACAATGCCTCGTTATGCCCTACGAGCATGAATAAGACCGAGGACACAGTATCCAACAGGCGGGTTATCATGTATTTCAGACGTTTCAGAGGAAATATATAATTAGCAGCCACATGCCTAACTGAAGGTTGACAGGGCTTAGTGAAAGAATTTAGCAATGTCCTGAAATCGGCACATATATATACTTGGAATATACTTGGTATATACTTGCGATGCTTCTCTGCAAAGGGTCTGGGGAAGAGGGTAACTCGTCACAGGTTCCACCCCACCTCCTCCCACCGCCATGAGTACAACGTTCGTGTCCCTCGTCATGATGACCGCCTCCGTGGCGTAGTAGTTAGAGCGTCCGCCCGGAGAGCGGAGGGTCTCGGGTTCGTCACCTGGCCACGTCATACCAAAAGACGTTAAAATATGGTACTTGTTGGTCCCTGCCTGACTCTCGGCATTAGTGGGTACAACAAGGACTGGTCGGTTCGGAGTCAGTATAATGTGTCCACCACTGGAAGGTCGGAAGGTCGGAAGGTCAGACTCGCTGACTTTGTTGACACATGCCATCGTATCCTAATTGCGTAGATCGATGTTCATGCTGTTGATCACTGGGTTGTCTGGTCTCGCATCGATTATTTACAGACCGCCGCCATGGAGCTGGAATGTTGCTGAGTGCGGCGTAAAACTAAACTCACTCACTAAGTCACGTCGGGAAATGAAAGCATCCCTACAAACAGGTTTCAAAATGTAAAACGACATCTATGAGAAGAAATAACCCCCATAACACACCCAGTAATAATTCAACGCTAGATGGATCTTCCTCTCTGCACAGGACACGTTTATAACAGATGCATCATCTTCTGTTATGAATGTTTGATGTGCCCCGATTCCAAGAGCATATGTCTTAGGCCTTGGTTGCATGAGTATCTGTTTCAGATGATTCTCTCTGTAAGGCACTGGTTGCAGTAGCATATGCTTTGGACTGGTTGCATGAGGATCTGAGCTTTGGTAGAAGGAATATCTCTGTAACGCTTTTGTTGCATACGTATGTTTGTGAGGCCGGGGTGTGATGAAGAACTAGGGCACTGGTTGTACAAGTGTATGTACCAGGCATTGGCGTATATGTGAGGCCTTGGTTGCACGAGTGTATATGTGAGGCCTTGGTTGTATGAGTGTATATGTGAGGCCTTGGTTGTATGAGTGTATATGTGAGGCCTTGGTTGTATGAGTATATATGTGGGGCTAGGTTGCTCCAGTGTATGTACCAGGTCTTGGTGTATATGTGAGGCCTTGGTTGCCCGGGTGTATATGTGAGGCCTTGGTTGCACGAGTGTATATGTGAGGCCTTGGTTGCACGAGTGTATAAGTGAGGCCTTGGTTGTATGAGTATATATGTGAGGCCACGGTAGCACGAGCTTATATGTGAGGCCTTTGTTGCCCGAGTATATATTTGAGGCATTGGCTGCACGAGCTTATATGTGAGGCCTTTGTTGCTCGAGTATATATTTGAGGCCTTGGTTGCACGAGTGTATATGTGAGGACTTGGTTGCACGAGCATATATATGAGAGGCCTTGGTTGTATGAGTATATATGTGAGGCCATGGTAGCACGAGCTTATATGTGAGGCCTTGGTTGCACGAGTGTATATTTGAGGCCTTGGTTGCACGAGTGTATATGTGAATTCTTGGTTGCACGAGTGTATATGTGAGGCCTTGGTATCACGAGCATCTGGGCGAGGTCATGGTTGGATGAGCAGGGGATGTTTCAGCGGGGACACAAGCGCGTATACCGGGACTAGAAACCCAACACCGCATGTTTGCCTTTGTTGTTTGTTTCGATGATTGCCTGTGGGATGATAACTCATAGATTGGACAGATAGCTACATGGGCCGGACTCGATCTGGATCATACTGATGGGCAGTTTTCGGACACAGTCAGTGATAGCCACACAGTCACATCGGCGAATCTCCTCACACCCGCAGGTTTAACTGTGCTTTAGACAACTGTCAGCACACCCCCGTGTGATTGTGTGCTCGTGGTCCGTTCTAAATCATTTGGATAATTATAAGTGAAATATTTTCCAAATGGCTGTGTCAAACAAACTGAGTGCATTTCTTCTCCTGCTCGGTCTTATTCTACTGGATCTAGCTGAAGGTAAGGCGGTTGATTTACCTATGATGCTATCTGGATAAGAACATATCACAATCTCTTCTCTTTGACTATACTCCTCTATTCCTCAAAATTCACAATTTGCTCATGTCGAGGGATGTACTCATATGACCACACTGTGCGCACCTGTGTGGTTGAGATAAAACTGGGTCTTTGAAGTTGGGGGTAAAGACTTCGTATCTACCTCAGATCTAGTTAATACTCCATTCTTTAAATTAAAAATTATAATGCAAATATTGTTCACACGCATCTGAACATCCGGAATGCTGACATGGATACTGACAATACACTCTGAATGAAATGCAGACCATCTGCATTCGTTTCACAATAACATCGTTGTTCAGTCTTTACAATTGTGGAAAGCCTTCTCATGGAAGTTGTCCCCAACGTCAGGTCATATACGCATCGCTGCGCTTCGGATAAGTGAGCGTTTCTTTGCCGCGAGATATTTACAAGTTTCAGATTGTCTCCGCTTGACTGATGTCCGATATGTAGAACCACCGTATACCCCAGACTTATCAATGGGGCAAAGTGTAAACAGGGAGAATTGTTTTGCTCCGAGAGGGAGTAATGAGATTGTTTCCCGTGACCTGTGGATGAAGGTCATGGCAAGAGCGTTTGTTGTTGCCAGTCATGGAGGGGACGGGAAATTGAACTTCGCCCCAGAAATAGAGTTAACATATAAAAAAATGCATATCTACAAAAATAGTAAATCTTTGAATGGCATTTAGAAGGGAAATGCATAAGAAAAGCAAGATTTAAGGATGTCAACTTTTTTATTGTGAAAAACACGACGTTTCGGAGTGTATGCTTGCTCCTTGATTAGGTTATTCACAATAAAGAAGTTGTCTTCCATAAATCTTGCTTTTCTTACAAAATAGTATATAAATCCAAATAGAGCCGGAAACAATGTTTAATTTTCTAATCACATCTGGACTTGATTCTAAACGCGTTGGATTCCCTTTTGGCTTTAATAGGACAGGTAATGTAATCACAGAATTACAATCACAGCCATCTTGAATAGCTTCAAACATGTTGATTTTTCTATGTTGAGTGCATAATGAACCCTCTAAGAAATAATGATCAGCATTCTCGTATGGGTTACCACATGCACAGGATGGATCTGTGATTAGCCCTACTCTGTACAGATCGTAACTTAATCTCCTGGCGTATGACGTATTTTCAAGGAGATATTGCCTGCATTTCATAAATTCTAATGTCTCCTGGAGCCAACACAAATGTTAGTTATATGATCAAACAATAATTATAGTAAACGAACTAAGTTTAAAGACATATAGTTTATCAACTATAGTCTACAGCCTGCAGTAATCAAGGTGTGAAATCCCTGGACAACGTGAAAATAGTAAGCTTCTTTCTTCAACAAAATGCTGATGTGTTAGCAAATTATGTGACTGCGTGAGTGAGTTAGTGAGTTAAAGTTTACACTCACATCGGCAGACATATCGTGACTATTAAACACAACCATAAACAATATAAATACCCTACAACAAAGCGTAGAAACATAACGAGAATGTCACAGATTCACATCTGAAACCAGCAAGTAACCATAAAAAGGTATTTCTCCACACGACACAACATAAAATGGGCTACAGATCGCCAACAACTTAAAGTAGATCACCATACTAGAGACCATCAGGGCTTACAGTATTGTGCTACACGCATGGGCCTTAGATGGATTTACACTATCCCTTCAGATGCTAGCGATTGTCGATAAATCTAGCCATGAATGAAAACAGCAGAAATTCTGCGGTTAAAAACTAGTAGCTTTAGATTTACTTACAAAACATAGTTATCCAAATATTTCAAAATTTCTTTTTAAAAAATCAATAAATAAAACGACCCTTGACAGTTTCACACTGACAGAAAAATCACTTCAGCCAAGAATGAATAAATGAATAAACAAGTAATTAAATAAATGAATGAATGAATGAATGAATGAATGAATCTGTACAGTTTGAAGCTTTTAACTTATCAATTGCCTTCAGACATTTATTCTTTAATTAATTTAAATGTGGACTAAACGTTAGATGTTGATCGAACAGAATACCCTAGAACCTGGCCCCTTTTTCAATTTTAAGAGGTGTACCGTTTAAAACTAATTTCTGGTTCTTGTGAGGTGTATATTTTCGACTCAAAAAGTGGATATAATTAGTTTTGGATTTTGAAAATTTAAATAAATTTTTAAATACCATTTATTAAGTTTATTTAAGCATAATTGCGGTTGCCTTTCAATAGTAAGCGTGGGTAGATTTGAAATTGCTACGTCCTTATTTCATCAAAATATTCTGTAACGATGATTGTGGTAACTATTCCAGGAGATAATAACATCCATTATCCATTGTACCCATGTGGGAATCGAGCCCGGGTCTTCGGCGTGACGAGCGAACGATTTAATTACTAGACTACCCCACCGCCCATATGATGGAGGAACATCAGATGGGGTCACCATTTTTAGTATTTTGGGGAAATGGTCACATCCATCCGCAGAGATCGTGGTGGGCTGACCATTCAAATTCATTCAGTAGGTTTGAGTCTGTAATGGACAAGAAACTTGCACGCAATTCATATCAAAATAGATTTTCGCGTGACCTCCTCCAACTGCAAAATGATATCCAAGAGTGTCCGTTGGGGATGCTCTAGGATGGTATTTCAGGATGGTGGATAATAGACGGAAGAGTCAGCGGTAGAGTTGAAGACAGCGGCAGCCATGTGTTAGTATGGCTAGGGAATAATGGTCGAAATGGTTCATCGTCGACGTAGTCGTTGGTGAGGCAACGGCCTTGGCCGACGCCACAACTAGCCGCACAATCCGTCCGCTTCTGTCGATGATCTGGTTCTGTCTCCTCGTCTCGTTTCCCTGACTGGTCTCCCTGACTGACCATATCAGTCGGGTTATATACATAGGGACATTACGCCACGTTGTGAAGGTCACTGGCCTATGTACATGCCAGTAAGATCCGCCGACGTAGGGAGGTGTTAATTGACATTTACTGATAGCATTGAGAATTAAGGGTCCTGCCCGGAGTGGGGTTTATGATAAGAGGGGATACACCGAATGTTTGCTAAATACATTAAACAGACAAAGGGGATAGAATTTCGGTGTACTTTGGATACATATTGAAACAATTATGTCTTTTGAATATATGAAGTTTTAAAGAAACTTATTGAAATGATTTAGTCTATGGCAATAGGAAGAAAAACATTTCAGTAAACTTTTCCAACTGAGAAAAAACATTGTGTTTTTACGTCGAAACCTCAAAATCGTCTAAGTCGTGATGCTTGTCAGAAAATGTAGTGTACGACGGTGTTCGAGGCATTATGTTACGTTCTGTTTTGCAACGTACCCTGTCCGTTCCTTCAGGTCCACAGAAGTCTTTACAGCAGGTGCTTTCTCATATTGTACGTGTAGACACCGACTTATGTATGCCTAACACCAACCCACAAAGTTGGTCAGACAACAGCAAGCGTTGGAACAGTTCCGGGATATCTCCAATGTTGCAATAGCAATGTGAAGCCATGGAAGAGGCGTTGTTGCCATTTTCCACACTAGACATTGACATGTTATAGTGACATTGTCCCTATCTTGTTCACGTTCACAACCGAGTGGGTATTTTAATTTCATATGTATATATATATACTAACGGTAGCATATGGTGAAAATGTCGGTTCAAGAAAGATAAAGGAAATGACATGCCGACATTGTAAACACAAAAGTAAACCAAAAGGTCCACACACGTTTTTTGTGTCTGCTCTCATTGACATCGAGTACGGGTACAGCAGTGAAATGTCATCACCCGGCCGTTTCGGCTGTCTCCCATGGCAGCATCTGGAACTGCTCATTTGTGACGTCATTCGGACTTTACGTCACAACATGATTTTAATGACGTCATCACAGCTGATGACGTAACAATACAATGGTGTGAGCGATGTTTGTATGTATTAATACGCAGAGAATTTCCGGGAATCAAATACCATTTGATCACGTTTTTCAACCAATCAGATTAAAGAACACAGTGACTTTTTGTTTACAATTTATTTTAAGGCAACATTGTACAGTATTTCAGTGACATGGCGGGTTGATGATGGAGGAAGTTCAAAGCGTCTCAGTTCTAAATCCAAAAGCGTAGGTATATATCCTCAGTGCGGTTCACCAGGCACAAGTGTAACGCTAAATTATTGATGCCAAAAAAGCCTCTGTCGCATATAAAAAACCGGGCAAACGAATGAGAATGCGCGTATGCTTTGATGTATTGTGGTCAAAGAAACATTTTTATATTAGACTGTTTCTATGTACTTCTTGTATCTAAAACTATTCAAACATTTTTCAAAATATCACGTGTTTCATCTTACAGAATACAAAATGATTTGAAAGTAAACTGTGTTGTGTTTATAACATATCGATATACACAAGGTGGTGAGGTACAATGCGTGGACTATTGATTTCGGTACGCGCGTTTGCGCGAAGACGGAACCAAGTTGGTACAAGACGAGAAGGGAAGGATGTCGGCCAATGGGCTTGTTCCGAAATGACACGAATCGTGACGTATATATACGGCTCAGAAACAATTTGCATGTAAGATAGTGGGACAGTGTGGACACCGTCTTGTGGTGTTCACGTTGTGTACGCAGATCATCTAGGACAGACTACCGTAATACGTAGGTGACATAGGCGACCTCTCATTGGCCAAGAGTAATTGGACCCGTGAAGATCCGGGTTACAATTGGTCTTTACCAGCCCATGCTTGTCGTAAGAGCATGATCAATAGCATAGATCGATGTTCATGCTGTTGATCACTGGATTGTCTAGTCCAGACTCGATTATTCACAGACCACCGCCATATAGCTGCAAAATAGCTGAGTCTCCCCACACGCGTATAACAATCTTCATATTATCTAATCCTTGAAATCCAGGTTAGAATTGGTCTTCAGCAACCCATGCTTGTTGTTAGGGACGAGTAACGAAATCAGGTGGTCAGACTTGCTGACTTTGTTGACACATGTCATCGTATTCCAATTGCGTAGATCGATGTTCATGCTGCTGATCACTAGATTGTTTGGTCCAGACTCGATTATTTACAGCTCGCCTTCATATAGCAGGGTCCATAAAGTTACCGCCCTTGCAGCTAAAATGTCTAAAAACACGGATATTACTAACTCTTTATCTACAGACTGTTTTATGCGCTATGTGAAACACAGATGTAATGTTGTTGGCGATGAAAAGTGGTTCAGTGACTTGTGGAACGACAGAAATCTTCAACACGGAAATAAATTAAGAACGTACAGAAAGTTTAAAAAGGACAGAGTTCCAAAAAGCTACCTATTCTACCCCATGTCACGATACCAGCGAAAACTGTTAGCTAAACTACGATGTGGGACTCTCCCACTGTGTATCGATACTGTCAGATACACCGACACCTCTTGAATCCCGCCACTGTCCATTCTGTGCAGACGTCATCGAAGACGAAGAACATTTCTTGATAGACTGTCTTATGTACGCCGATATTAAATAATGTATATGAACTTTTTAACAGTGATCTCCTAACTGACAATTTCATAAACTTCAACTCTACCCAAAAGCTAATAAATGTGACGCACTGTCCTGAAATACAACAAATCCTAGCCAACTGTATTGATAGGATGTTCCAGAGAAGAAAAAGATATCCCTCTATTTAGTATATTTTACCTATGCATTGTATTATGTATCTGTAATGTGTGTGTGCGTGCGTGCGTGTGAGTGTGTGTATGTGGCTATAGGTGTGTGTGGTTTGGTTATAAGGACGTGTATTTGTATAAGTAGATATGATTGCGGATATGGGTGTGGGTGTGTGTACTTGTATGTATTGGTATGAGTGTGGCTGTAAGTATACTGAAAGGCAAAAGAAACGTCGTAATATTGGAAATGACATTTAAGTATCAATGGAATATTTGAACCTATGTTTTTAAAATATTACGCCACTGAAATGCCGTACCGACTTTCATCAGAGAAGATAGCCCCTCTCCATTGTCCCCCACGACAGTTTTGCCGCTGTTGTGTCCACTTGGTGACGTTCCCGGCGGTGACGTTGGGTGAATATGGGTCTCCTGGCAGGACGTCGACAAAACAGGTTCCTGAATTGGAGACGTCGCCGAATGGTTCGGTCACTGACTGGTCGCTGGTGGTTTCCTATGGTCACCCAAGCTGTTTCTCTTCCCCTTGCGAATAGGTCTTGCACGTGTTGATGGACGATATGACGGTCCTGGCGACGTGTTGTTACACGGGGTTGACCACTACGTGGACGGTCAGCAGTGCTGCTGGTGGCGTTGTATCGCTCTCTAAGACGTGCAATTGAAGTCATTAGCAATGACTCGAGCATGTTGACCAGCGTGTAGACGTCCAATGGCTTGTTGTCGTTGATCTCTCGTTAACCTAGTCATAGCTGCTGTGTTCAGAAAACAAGTGAACGATTGCCATTCAAGCCGGCAATGTATGCCTGAATGCATTTATGATGCACGTGCATCTCGATGTCAATGTTGTGCTTGTGGGAACTCTTCCCTCTCCAAAAACAAAAACATTTCTAACCTCAATCTCAAACAATACTTTATTGGGCAATGCAGGCTATACGACCACGATTCATGTTTCCTCAAACTTGACTTCCGGTGTATATTTTAAAAAAAATAGGTTCAAATACTCCATTGATACTCAAATGTCATTTCCAATATTACGACGTTTCTTTTGCCTTTCAGTATATATGTATTTGTATATGTTGGTTTGACTGTGTTGTGGGTGTATGTATTTTTGTTCATGGTGCTACGACTTGGGATGTGGACGTGTGCTTCTGTATGTGTTGGTATGACCGGTTGTGGGTGTATATATTTGTACATGTGAATATAACTGTGGTTGTGGGTGTATGTATTTGTATGTGTGTAAGTATGAGTGGTGAATGTGAAAATGAATGCAGATACATAATACTTGGGCACGTGTAGCTTTGTGTGAGCGCCTCTGTGTTTTACCACTGATATTATATGTGCACGTGTGTGTGCGTGCTCGCGCGTGTGTTTGCGTGTGCGTGTGTGTGTGTGTGTCATGCTTTTTATTTCAACTGTATAATTTTATTGTTTTAATTATTTTATCCATCTCACGTATTTTAATGATTTTTAAGTCTCTTATAGCCTCCTGGCGGCTTGTGCATGCACAGCTCTATACATTTATGTATACATTATCTGTATGTACAAGATGAGACTAAAATAAACAAACAACTAATAATAATAATATTGGTTAGTATGGACATTAAACACCAAACAAACAGTCAAACTCGTTGAGTCGCTAATACGGACAATTTGCGCTTGGCACAGTCCCAAATTTACAGGGTTACCCGGCTCATCAGTACTGTGATGAATGATGTCCGTCAACAATATTACAGATTTAGGAGGCACCACAGAGCCCCCAGATCGTGTATATAATAAAGTAATCACACCCATTCGATTCTCAGACAATTTCCAAACCGCCTCCGTGGTGTAGTGGTTAGAGCGTCCGCCCGGAGAGCGGAAGGTCGCGGGTTCGATCCCCGGCCGCGTCATACCAAAAGACGTTAAAATATGGTACTTGTTGGTCCCGGCTTGGCGCTCGGCATGAATGGGTACAACAAGGACTGGTCGGCTCGGAGTCAGTATACTGTGTCTGAGTGGGGTATTCATGCTTCACTGCAGCATGGTATCTCAGTGGGCTAGCACTATAAAACCAGCTTAAGTCTGGGCTAGTACAAGCAGCCGCATATACACATACACATACACACGCATGCACGTCGTCATATGAGCGAAATATTCTCAAGCACAACGTTAAACCCAATTTCACCTCACCTCACCTCACCTCACCTCACCTCACCTCACCTCAGACAATTCCCAGCACCCGCAGTCTAGTCCTATCCCCATTCAGTTGTGGGCTACAATACAGAGACTCTGTGATCCCTTTATTACATATGGGTTCCCTTGTAGAATGATTTTTTGAAAAGTTTATATAACATATGACTTCATTTCAGGGTGTATGTTCCCTACATGGGTACAATGTGTGAAGCCCATATCTGGTGTCCCCCGCCGTGATGTTGCTGGAATATTGCTACAAGCTGCGTACAACCACGTTCACTCACTCTCTCAGATTGCATGTGTTGGACGATCTCAATCCTGCAGTATTATCGTTTGTCGTGTGGCAAATATGTGTATGGTAGCGATTTATTATAACTGCTATGAATCCGCGATTTGTTGGGTGGGTGAGTGAAAGTATGGTTTTACGCCGCTGTAAGCAATACCCAGCAATATCATCGCGGGGGACACCAGAAATGGGCTTGGCACATTATACCCATGTGGGGAATCGAACCCGGGTCTTCGGCGTGACAAGAAAGCGCTTTAACCACTAAGCTACCCTACGGCCCCTATCTGTAGGGAATGTTCTATATTGTTCGGGCAAGGTGTTCGCTCGTCATTCTGAAGTCCCGGGTTTGATTCCGGACATATTTGAACATCATTCTATCTCGTTCTTATTCATCCATGGCCGTGATTTCTGGTGTTCCCCCGCCTTGATGTAGCTGGAATATTGCTAAAAGCGGCGTAAAACCAAACTCAGTCAGTCAGTCAGTCCATGGCCGTGGATGGAATATTTCCCATTTATAGCAGTGATCCCCCATCCTCTGTCACTACAACCTGGGTGGGTGGGGGGTACTCTGTAACTTACTCGATAGGAAGAAAAGGAACCAGGTGACACAAGGCCTACAGTCCACTGAAGAAAAACAATATATTGCCTCTGGCTACCTGGCTCTTTGCGACGGCTCAAGTCGAAATGTGAGGAGACAGGTTCCCCAGGCTGAAACGTGATTTGATGTGTCGAGGAGAGAAATAGAATAATGTAGATCTTTGTGAAGATATGATTGTTTGTGGCTGTTTTTTTCAGAGACGGTGTGTATATTATGTCGCACAAAGACTAGCACATCTGGGCTCGCCCACCGTAACAACATCCAGTGCGCCAACAGCTGCTGCGGCCCGAGCGACGACGAGTACTGCTGTGTCGTCAGGTGAGTAACATGCTACCTTGGCTGTGTCGTCAGGTGAGTTCCGTGCTACCTGTCCTGTCGTCAAGTGAGTCCCATTCTACCTGTGTTGTGCGTGTTGTCAGGTGAGTTCCGTGCTACCTGTGTTGTGTCGTCAGGTGAGTCCTGTGCCACCTGTGCTTTGTAGTCAGGTGAGTCTCGTCCTACCTGAACTATGATGTCAGGTGAGTATTATCCTACCCGAGCTATGATGCCAGGTGAGTCTCGTCCTACGTGAGCTATGATGTCAGGTGAGTCTCGTCCTACCTGAACTATGATGTCAGGTGAGTCTCGTCCTACTTTGAACTATGATGTCATGTGAGACTCGCCCTACCTGAACTATGATGTCAGGTGAGTAATGTCCTACGTGAGCTATGATGTCAGGTGAGTCTCGTCCTACCTGAACTATGATGTCAGGTGAGTCTCGTCCTACCTGAACTATGATGTCATGTGAGTCTCGCCCTACGTGAGCTATGATGTCAGGTGAGTCTCGTCCTACCTGAACTATGATGTCAGGTGAGTCTCGTCCTACGTGAGCTATGATGTCAGGTGAGTATCGCCCTACCTGAACTATGAGGTGTCACCTGGATGTCAGTCTCGTCCTACGTGAGCTATGATGTCAGGTGAGTCTCGTCCTACCTGAACTATGATGTCATGTGAGTCTCGTCCTACGTGAGCTATGGTGTCATGTGAGTATCGCCCGACCTGAACTATGATGTCATGTGAATCTCGTCCTACCTGAACTATGATGTCAGGGGAGTCTCGTCCTACGATAGCTATGATGTCAGGTGAGTCTCATCCTACCTGAACTATGATGTCATGTGAGTCTCGTCCTACGTGAGCTATGGTGTCATGTGAGTATCGCCCGACCTGAACTATGATGTCATGTGAATCTCGTCCTACCTGAACTATGATGTCAGGGGAGTCTCGTCCTACGATAGCTATGATGTCAGGTGAGTCTCATCCTACAGTAGTTATGATGTCAGGTGAGTATCGTCGTACCTGAACTATGATGTCAGGTGAGTCTCGTCCTACCTGGAACTATATTGTAAGGTTAGTATCGTCCTACGTGAACTATGATGTCAGGTGAGTCTCGTCCTACTTGAACTATGATGTCAGGTGAGTCTCGTCCTACCTGAACTATGATGTCAGGTGAGTCTTGTCCTACTTTGAACTATGGTGTCAGGTGAGTCTCGTCCTACCTGAACTATGATGTCAGGTGAGTCTTGTTCTACATTGAACTATGATGTCAGATGATTCTTGTTCTACTTTGAACTATGATGTCAGGTGTGTCTTGTCCTACCTGAACTATGATGTCAGGTGAGTATAGTCCTGCCTGAACTATGATGTCAGGTGAGTCTCGTCCTACACCAGTTATGATGACAGGTGAGTATCGCCGTACCTAGGTTTCATTGTCTACTTGAGATGTATTGTCAGGTGAGTCTTGTCCTACCTGAGTTGTGTTGAGAGGTGAGTTCCGTCCCACCTGAGCTTTGTGACATCTGAGCAGTGATGTCAACGTCCGTCCCATCCAACCTATGTTCCCAGGTAGGTCTTATATTGCGTCGCAATGTTTTGCAGGCCATTTTGACGTCATCGGTTAGGATGACGTCACAATGAAATGCCTACAACTGATTCCATTTCGCTGCATATTTCACGATCAAAATGTCTTATCTGTCATCGTCTGCAAAATGAAAACATTGGAAGAATGACTTTGGATTATGAATAGAATCCCACCTTCCTTTGGTGACTTTTGTTAAGATATCTGACATATAAAGACACTTGGATTAAATTCACTATTACTTTATTTGCATTTTCTATCATGTTTTGTTGTTTGTGTAAAAAGTAGAGTGAGTTGGATGTGCAAAATATACTTTGTATTTCTCTGATTTGCCTTTGACTGACTGACTGAGTTTGGTTTTACGCCGCTTTTAGCAATATTCCAGCAACATCACGGCGGGGGACACCAGAAATGGGCTTCACACATTGTATACGTACCCATGTGGGGATTCGAACCCAGGTCTTCAGCGTGACGAGTCAACGCTTTAACCACTAGGCTACCCCACCGCCCCATATTTGCCTTTGACATATTTATGATTAACTGCTTGTACTAGTGAAACTATGAATACTATTCGTCGTAGCTGCGTCTCGAGAGCATTTAAAGTGTCAACGAGAATGTATATTTGTCTGCACGTGGCAGGACAACAATGTGCTTCGTGTTTTTTGCAGCAAAATATTATTATCAGGCTCGGCGGTATATAATTATTCCACGTTGCAGATATTTAGAGTCAGTGGGTGTGAACCAACCATATACGTTATGTTATTGTTCTATATGGTTGTTGTTGTTGCTGGTGGTGGTTGTGGAATGAATGATAACAGTTATAACTGATGATGATGATGATGATGATGATGATGATGATGAGTGAGTGAGTGAATTAGTTAAAATTTAACGTCACATCGGCAATATTGCAGCCATATCGTGACGAGAACAGTTGATATCAATATTCAACAGTTATAACTGATGATGATGATCAGTTTGCTACCTGCATGGAACCTAGTTGGATTTACACCATCCGTTCAGCTGCTGGCGATTGTAAGAAATGTTAGCCAAAATTAAAACAACAAGAATACTACGTTTAAACATCCTGGTAAGTTAAAATTGACTTTGAAAGTTTTTGGACTTACGTACCCTCTCAGGAGGACAATAATTTTACGATACTTCAACCCCCTTTGAGGGTACAGCCACTAACAATCCCAGTTACTAATCCAAGCTACCAATAATAAAATACTTATCTATTTACAAACCATTTTTCAAAATTTATCTATCAATTCTATTTCTTTTAAAAATTCAATGATTAAATGATAATTTACATTAAAAAAGATCCTTCACTGTTTTAACAGTGACATATTTATCCCTTGTGATGGAACAATCAATACAGTCAAGCAGGACATGCTTGACCGTGATTCTTTCTTTCTTTCTTTCTGATGATGATGATGATGATGATTATTATGATGATGATGATGACGATGATGATGACGACGATGATGATGACGACGACGACGATGATAATGATGAAGACGACGACGATGATGATGATGATGACGACGACGACGACGACGACGACGACGACGACGACGATGATGATGATGATGATGATGATGGTGGTTGTTGTTGACAGTACCTCTGTGATCCTGGGATGTGCAGTTGGCGGCGGTTTCATGGTGGTCATCACTATAGGCGTCATATGTTACTTCCTGAGTCGAGGACGACATTGTGCCAGCTGGGGGAGTCACAGCGAAGGGTCCATATCCGACAGTGAACCCCTCCCCTCCCGCCACTCCCGCCGTGTGTCGTCCGTGGGAAGTGGCCTGCCGCAGATTGACCGCCTCTTCCTGGAGTGTTCTGTCCGACGTCCGTCACAACTTAGTCAAGGTAGCTTCTTTTGAGTGGCAAGGATATTACATCCCTGCCTACCACCAACTCATCAGCAAGCAATCTTTATCCTATTCTTCTCCTGTCCGTCACAACAATAGCTTTCCCCCATTAACCCCTCCCTAGTTATTTATGTTTGTGTAACAATTGCCTTTGTGGGTAAACATCTTCCAACCTTGTGTATTAAACAAGTATTTGTCTAAACATCCATCAACTTACTGTTCAAACATGACTCAAGTATATATAGCCTTTCCTGTGGCAGTGTACGTCACTTGCATGGTAACGGTGTTAGTAGCTACACCGAAACGTCGCTCATATTAATAGTAAAGAAGTTGTATATCCATTGAAGTCTCCCCGTTGTTCAGTCTAGGTAGTCTTGCTTTCTATCGACTGTAGTATATGTCAAAGTATAGGCACGGCAGTCGTAGGTCAAAGAAGGTTCCAATCTGTGGTTTTAGTTTCAATGTCACTTACATCGTGCTACTAATAACCCAGGATACCCACTATAATGTACCCCATACAGACATTTAACATCTCCCAAATCTTCCGAACAATCGCATAACGTTGCACCCGACGAGTTACTCTCCATGGCTGATGTTGTAGCCTCTCTGACCTCCATAACGTTCTCACATGATCTGCCTATTTCTTCTCCATGTCTTATGTTGTAGCATATCTGCCCACCTTGATATGCACCATACTCACAGCTACCTCTTTTCCGTGTCTTATGTTGTAGCATATCTGCCCACCTTGATATGTAACATACTCACAGCTACCTCTTTTCTGTGTCTTATGTTGTAGTCTCTCTGCCCACCTTGATATGCACCATACACACAGCTACCCTTCTCCATGTCTTATGTTGTAGTCTCTCTGCCCGCCTTGATATGCACCATACACACAGCTACCTCTTCTCCATGTCTTATGTTGTAGTCTCTCTGCCCGCCTTGATATGCACCATACACACAGCTACCTCTTCTCCATGTCTTATGTTGTAGCCTCTCTGCCCATCTTGATATGCACCATACACACAGCTACCTCTTCTCCATGTCTTATGTTGTAGTCTCTCTGCCCACCTTGATATGCATCATACACACAGCTACCTCTTCTCCATGCCTTATGTTGTAGTCTCTCTGCCCATCTTGATATGCACCATACACACAGCTACCTCTTCTCCATGTCTTATGTTGTATTCTCTCTGCCCGCCTTGATATGCACCATACACACAGCTACCTCTTCTCCATGCCTTATGTTGTAGTCTCTCTGCCCACCTTGATATGCACCATACACACAGCTACCTCTTCTCCATGTCTTATGTTGTAGTCTCTCTGCCCACCTTGATATGCATCATACACACAGCTACCTCTTCTCCATGCCTTATGTTGTAGTCTCTCTGCCCATCTTGATATGCACCATACACACAGCTACCTCTTCTCCATGTCTTATGTTGTATTCTCTCTGCCCATCTTGATATGCACCATACACACAGCTACCTCTTCTCCATGCCTTATGTTGTAGTCTCTCTGCCCACCTTGATATGCACCATACACACAGCTACCTCTTCTCCATGTCTTATGTTGTAGTCTCTCTGCCCGCCTTGATATGCACCATACACACAGCTACCTCTTCTCCATGTCTTATGTTGTAGTCTCTCTGCCCGCCTTGATATGCACCCTACACACAGCTACCTCTTCTCCATGTCTTATGTTGTAGTCTCTCTGCCCACCTTGATATGCACCCTACACACAGCTACCTCTTCTCCATGTCTTATGTTGTAGTCTCTCTGCCCACCTTGATATGCATATGCATACACACAGCTACCTCTTCTCCATGTCTTATGTTGTAGTCTCTCTGCCCACCTTGATATGCACCCTACACACAGCTACCTCTTCTCCATGTCTTATGTTGTAGTCTCTCTGCCCACCTTGATATGCACCATACACACAGCTACCTCTTCTCCATGTCTTATGTTGTAGTCTCTCTGTCAACCTTGGCATGCACCGTACTCACCTTTTCTCCGTATGTTGTAGTCTCTCTGCCCACCTTAATATGTACCATACACACAGCTACCTCTTCTCCGTGTCTTATGTTGCAGCATCGCTGCCCTCCAGAATATATCAGATCCCAGAGCCACAGACCCCTGCCACGTCAGCTGTTAATGCCCTGGCAATAGCCACAGTCCCCAAGGTTTATGGAGGAGACAACATACATTGATAGAGCTGTTCAACACTGCAATGCGTCCTGATGGAGTAAACATCACGGTTTTGCAGAGAATCATGATTCCTCACTGCCTTGTTCATAACAGAGACAAAATGGATTTATCTCAGTAGTGTCCATGTTTACAACGATTGCTGATAGGAACCAGGATTTAGTTGCCCTAACAACCCCCTGTCATCTCGGGTTACGCTCCGGATTTGCCACGCAGTTACGTCCCTTTGGTATTATATGATAGTGGATGGGAATCACAGAGTCACCTTAATTGCTCTGTTAGGTTTGTCAGCATTCTAATTTTGCCCATGGGCTGCGACGTCGTGGGCGTCGTAAAGACTTGCATCCTTGAAGGATATCATCCCTCATGGCAAACTATGATATCACTGAACAAACTTACAAGGTGATGTTATTCGATGCTCACGTATCTGTCACTACATGTGGTAACTCAACATATGATAAATGAAATGTTTGGTTTGTTGATTGACGGTAAACTCAGCAATGGTCCAGTTACATGACTGCATGCGGCTTGTAAATAGTCCCCTCTTGACCAAACACTCCAATGATTAGCATCACTGCACACAAACAGGCAAAATTGGGATTCGATGACATGCAACAACCAAGTCCTGAACACCTGATCCTGTTACTGACTGACTGAGTTTGGTTTTACGCCGCTTTAAGCAATATTCCAGCAACATCACGGCGGGGGACACCAGAAATGGGCTTCACACATTGTACCCATGTGGGGATTCGAACCCGGGTCTTCGGCGTGACGAGCCAAATCTTTAACCACAAGGCTACCCCACCGCCCCTGATCCTGTTACAGGACTCTTACGACAAGCATGGGTTGTTAGAGACCACTTCAGGTATTTGTTCTCGTGATTTTGATGTATTGTAATCCTGATGCGAGCCATCATGTCTGTATTTAAATGAGAAGCATATTAATTGTACAATAAACATTACAAACACTTAAACGTCGGATTGTTTGTATATAGGCATTGGGTGAACAAATAACTTCTTTCTGGACGCTTTCTTGACATCGGTTTTTTGCCCATGTTATTATTGGAATTTACTATCAGATCAAGCTCCGATTTTGTCTTGATTGACACCACAGGGAGAGATTTGAGCTGAGGTTTAAATGTTTCACTCTAGGCCCGAGTCATCCGCGTTATAACTGGATTTAGGATCAAATGACTCCCCATTTGACATAAATCCATCCCCTTCATGTTTACAGACATCTTTTTGTCCCGTTCAGGTTTGTCATACTATTCTATAGGTTCCATATGTTCATGAGAATGTATACTTTCTACCTAAAAAGATGTAAGCTGATTGTTCAATTTTCCACTTTATAATTTCTGTAAAGTAGATAGGTGTGCATATATTACTGTGAAATTTACATGTGGCATTAATACTCAGCCCGTTACAATTCTGAAAAGATTATTTACTTATTTACTCTGAATCGTGTCAGATCTCAGAAAGTATTTAGTAAAATTGACTCTAATCAGACTTTCCGTTTTTCTGATCATTATAATCAGTAGATTGTGTGAGGAAAGGTACTAGATATATATCAAGGAAACTTGCCTGCCACATGCTACATTTCTCAAAATGTTTAGTGAGGCTAATATAGTATTCAAGCTTCAACTAAAGGTACGACATTCTATGTTAAGTGAGTTGGGTTGAAGGGGTCGTTTTCGTGACGGGTACGACAGATATGTACCCGGGTAGGTTTCTGTATACGGAAACCCTAGGCAAAATCTGAATACAGTTAGGGAAATACAAATAGGTGTACTCCAATGCTTTGCTCCATTCTATGGTTTCCGTAAGCGTGACGCCCTGATTGACGAAAATTCACGCACAACGTTATCGTTACTTCTCATTTCTGACTATTCCCCTCGGTAACAATACTAACAAAAAAAGAAAAAAGAAAATAACAACATGCAGATTATCAGAATGTTTGGGATTACTTACATGTCACGTTTATGCTTGAATGAAAGAAAGTCTCCTTCCCAACATCCTGCGTACTCGTGTCGGTGAACACGCCATTTTGTCATACGTACCTCAACATTGTTTTACAGATTTGGTATTTTCATTGTGATGAGGTTTATGATTGAAAATACTCACGATCAATCTAGCATGCTGCTAATAATGTTTATTATATTGGTCGGTAATTTGACGGGTCAGAATGATTTTGTCCAGGTTTGGGCAAAGGGACTACAATGGATTTAGGCCAGGAAGAATTAAATCTTCCAGAAATCCAAATCGGATCAAATATTTCAAATAGTGTCTTAAGACAGGAATGAGGCAAATGTTTCAGGAGCTGATAATGAATATTACAGTACAACCAGATATTATTGAGAATTTAAAGATTGTAAAAAAACAAATTTCACTCATTACTCACGTATTTCACGTGTTTCTAAATACGTAATAGTCGTAACAGAGAAACAATAACAAAATCAAATAAAACACCCTTAGTCATATTCAGTTGTTGATCAGATGATGGTTAGACGCCTATAACCCTTGCCGTGCACCAATAACTATGACGTACATGTTGATGGAATGTTTCATTTGCAAATATTAGACGTTTACATAATCATGTTCATACCTTAACTGCACGGCTTAGAACAATTTTCTCCAAAAATTGAAGGGGGTGACAACCATTATTGGCATGACTATATTTAAATGAATCAGACTCGATATAGCAAAATCAGATTTTAATCAGATCAGTCATTGTTAACCTTGAATCTGATATCTGTCTCATATGTTAGAGATTTTCAACATCACGCTTATTGTGTTTAAACAATAAAATAGAGACACTTGTCATCGCAAATAGCTTCAAAGTTGCGGATTCAGCTTTAACCAACATTCTCTGACTCACTTCTGTTGTTATATCGTGAAACCACAGACCTGTCTCTTTCACCGTCTTGAACCATCTGTAACCATTCGGGCCACGAGTGTTACATCCTTAATATATTCAATGAAAGATGTTTTGCTTTATTTATTTCATGGATCATAACTAATGTATCTCAATTTATGTAGACGTCTTTCTGAAATACTATCTTACAAATAAACAAGGTGAGTTGATATTTTTCTTCTCTTTTATGGGTGAAAGATTAGATACCGTCTCCAAATGAAAGCCTTTGAATTGTCTTTGAAATGACATTATGGCATACCGAAATGAAATGTGTCACCCTCCTTCAACAATATCTGCTGTTAGTTATTTTTATACTCCCCTTGAAGATCCGGGTTAGAATTGCTCAACAGTAAAAGGCGACTAACGGGATCGGGTTTTCACGCTCGCTGACTTGGTTGACACATGTCATCGTATCCCAATTGCGTAGATCGATGCTTATGTTGTTGATCACTGGATTGTCTAGTCCAGACTCGATTATTTACAGACCGCCGCCATATAGCTGGAATATTCTCACTCACTTACTATTTTTATACATATTCATCAAAACGGGGTCAGGGGTGGTGGATCTGTTGTTTGGAGTTCTGGAAGGAAGGTCATATCAATTTGTCGATTATCTCCTTTACGTCTATCAGACGTCGGGGCCTTGCTGTCTTGATCCTGCGCTCTCCGACATGGTGTATTGTCCAGGACAATAAGGGACTTGGCAGGCAAAGCAGGCACCAATTTATTTTTCGCCCACACTAGAAATATCCTGCCGTTCATTTCTTTGAGCAATGCCTGTCCCTTTCCTTGGCCCGAAAGACAAGTCATGACGTCATGACAGTTCATGTTAACATTTGAAGGTTAAGATCGAAGGATAGTGGATATGAGCTGAGCATATTTAAACATTGTTTATACAAATCTTAGAATTGATCAGGATTACGTGGAACTACAGATTAATTACAAAGTGTTTCAATTATTATTCACACATTGTACCCATGCGAGGAATCGAACACGGGTCTTCGGTGTGACGAGCGCACGCTTTACCCACTGGGCTACCCTACCGCAGCTCCGATCGGAAGGCTATTTAGTCAGGTTACTGTATTACATACGACTCTGGATAATGGTACAAACTAACAGATAATCATCTATAGTGTGGGCGGTTTCGTATCGCACAAACAAAAAAGACAACACGTCAAATTGTCATAATTCTTTTTAATTACTTTGTTGTCATTGGTTATATAGAGGTAAAATTACTTAAAACTTATATACATATATACTTGATTCCATTGAAGTATAAAATCATATTTACATGTATAAAACTTGAAATAACGGTGTTGGTTTTAGTTGTAGATGGACAAAATTTGATATGATTGAAGAATGATCGAAACTTATGAAACATTCAGACCAATGAAAACAATACTAAGCTCTGAGCAAATTTAAACTATATACAAACCGTTACAATGGACAATATACAATTGGAAAGAAAACGATAATTCTGCAAGTAAGAGAATCTTTACTCACTCCATAATCTGCAGCGTATATGTATCGGTCAATGGTCAATGGAAATTATATCATAGGAATTGAACGAGTGTTTTGGATATTGAAACGAAGCATGTATAACACAAGACAGTCATATTTGGCCTCGAACACCGCGACCTGAGACTAATCTGGGCTGAGCAAGAGGAACAAACGGTTGATAGCGCGAACGCCGATCCACGCCGTTCGGGTCCATTCGTCAACATTCGTCAACACACGCCCTTTCCGTAACTTGCGAGAAGACTCGTCCCCCAGTCGACAAAAATGATGTGAGAAAGTACGACAAATCAATCAAGTGTTTAACCCAAAGCATCCTTCAGAAATAAGTTTTGATTTTGCATACGTCTTGTATATTGTATACCCAAGATGCAGTTAAATGACATACCGTACATCAGGTCCAATGTGTTTTACATAGTATATGACTCATTACGCAAAATTGTATCATGAGTTAAGAAATCAGTTTTATGCCAACTGCCCTTAGATAGAACACAGTCGCAGAAATGACCACGCTTGGACCTCGGAATAACACGAGGTGGGTGTACAGGGTACACAACATCAACTGTTTTCCCATAGACTTCTATAGTAAAGATTTTTTTAAATCATCCAGGCTTTGAACAACCATTCCATGTACACATGGGTACAGTCTGGCCTTTAAACTAAAATAAAAACACACTTTCTGGCTTACTTGTCCTGCCAACTTTCCGAGCACAGAAAGCTGAACACAAAATGTCACCTACTTGAAACTATCTCTACATATATAAGCATAAGTCATGGTGATAAAAATGGCATCACTAAATACTTACAACTGTGGTCGGTTTTAATTACTGGATGGGTGTGTTTTAAAAAAACATAAACATCTTACACTATTTCATCCAATCACACGCTGTCACATGTCTCCATCTCTTCAGTTGTTTACATACGCACTGGCTCAGGGAGCAAGTGATTCTGAATTAGTGAAGAAGAACCTACGCGACGCACCGTCAACCAGGTCAGTTCATACAACAAGCACAGCGCAGAGGGAACATGTTATCTTCCCTAACCTTCATCAGCTTTGGCAAGATTGACTACAGAAGATGGATCATACAAACATAAACACGAAAACAACAGGGTATGCTTTAAAACAGAAATGTAGAAAACATTCAACTAAAACTACTACTGTACAATGTCACGAAGCAACGATAAAATACATCTCTAAAAACAAACAAGCAGCTGTGTTATTCTTTTCTTGGGACACCAGGGTCCATATCCACAAAGTGTTCGTGATGAATGGGCAGCAATATGTGTACAGTTACTGAGCACGGTACCAAGTTCAACCCATACTCCCGATTAAATAACTGGCGATATACAATGAAAGCTTAATAATGGGCGTTCTCTCAAATATGGAAAGGAAATTGAGATCAGGGGACGGATATATTAAATTACAAATGTGAATGACAATGTCGTTAAGGATCACTTGTGGAGGTATACCCGTCATCAAATAGTAAAATTATTCAAATGATATTTAATAATGAGTTACTGAGTTTAAAGTTAAATTTGGTGACTTCTGTTAATCGGTGTAAACGCATGGTGATTACTCAAGTTTGTCACACTAACCTATGAAGTGTCAGTAAAATATAAGCATTTACTCATCTTGGGATGGTTCCAAGATTTCATCATATACAATATCATGAAGGTTGGTGAAGAATTCTCATCTGACAAACACTAACGCAATGACATCAATTCTTTACGTAGTACATGGCCTGAGGGCGTCACCCATTTAACTATACAAAAAATAAAATTAGTTATTTAGTATCAAACACATCACGACTGACACCCCTAACATCTGCTAAAAATAGCCTCCTAGGCCGACACAGCTGAGATGGAAGTGAGACTCTTCACATCCAGCCATTTTTTCGCACCGCCATACCGGAAGCATGTGGCGAAATATTTCATTATGACGCCTTGCCTCACCCCAACTGTTTCACATCACGAGTTATCTCCCTTGCCTAGCTTCCTTTCAGAAATGAGTGAACAGTAATGTGTAATGCTGTCTCACAAGCTGAGCGATTATCATCGTTAATATGTGGAATGTTGGATCAACCCGGAAAGCAGCAGTTTGTAAATCTCTCATCCTGCGTTTAAAACGTCGAGACATAAAACAAATCCAAACATTTCAAGTACATCTACAACATTATCCAGGTTTCTGCTATGCGTATGAATCTTCCAGAGATATTCTGTCCCGAAAGGCCTTGCTCCTACTATTGGCCTTGTGCACAACTGCTTCCGGGGCACCAGGATGATGACCTTGACCTAGGTAGAAGTCGACGTTGGATGCGTCGGGTGTGACGGCAGCAGGGGGTAGGGCTGGCCGTGAGGGGGACAGGAAGGCAGGGGTCTCATCTTCTATACCCAGACGGTCGGAGTAGTCGTTGTACCCCACTGCAAGATTAAAAGAACCAAGACTTGTCATTGTAGTCTTCCAAAGACAGTCGCAAGAGCAAGTACTGCTTATAAAAAAGCACAAAAATGATAAGCTTCGAAAAAAATTCAATAAATGCATATTTTAGAAGTCTTGTTTTCATATCAGTTTTGCATGAAGGGATTTCATAGTATAACCTCCAAGCTAATTATTTTCATTCACTTGGTGAGTTGGAATGAACGCCGCTCTTAGCAGTACTTCAGGTACATCTCGACATTTAAGCTTTAATCCCACAGTAATACAGGTCTCTAAGGTTTAACACGTTTGTGAAACCAACAAGTTCGGGAAAGGTGCTGGCAAAAGAGGAAATATAATCGTTGTGATTAGGGATTCGAAGCCACAATCATAGGTTTCTGTCGTACCCAAAGAACGCAATTCTACACACAGCGAAGTGCGTAGCCTTATACGACTGAGCTACCTGTGCAGATTCATGCTCAGCAATAATACTGATCTTCAGTCGCCGTACATTGTTAGTAATCATGGTGCGAACATCTTCTCTCAATGTCCCGAATCATCTATAACATTTCAGCATGTATAACAGTTCAGTATCCTCCAAGAAGGAGGCACGGGAAACCTAACTCACTCACTTATAACTGTTTTCGAATTCCACTTACTTGGATTTTGGTCAGTAGGTAAGTCGCCATGTCCACTACGAGTTGTGATCCGAGTCAGAGTTTTCCTGGTGATCTGTGGGTTAGCGTCAGGTGGAGGGTCAGATGGGTCAACAATCGTGTCCCTCCACATAACCTGATTAGTCTGCATCCCAGTGTGGGGATCCATCCCCGCCCTCATCACCGCTGACCTCTGGCCCGCCCCAGGTTCGGGAGGGGGTCCACCAGCAGCGATCACTGATATGTCCATGGGATCAATAGGGGCATAAGGCCTATTCTTACGACCCCGTTTAGGGGTCAGGGCATCTCCGGGGGTGGACGTGTACCCCGGGCCTCCGGGGTGACCCATCTCCGAGAGGTCGTCAGGGCCGTTTCTGCCACGCCGGTGTTTCTTCTTAGAAGCTTGTGATGGCTCTTGTGACGTGGTCACCATGAAGCCTTTCTTGACAGGACCTTGTGGAGTGTCCTGCACATACCAAGCAGCCTGGCCTGCCATCATTGGCTGTTGGTCACCTGGCATCCCAGTAGCAGGTGCTCCTGGAATTGGTCCCATTTGATAATAGCCATAGGTTTGGCCAGGCATAGGGGCAAATCCGCCGCCCATTGGCATCATGCCGTAAGGCATCCCGTATTGGTTGGGGTACATGGCATCATAGCTTGGGGCACCATAGGCCGTGAAAGGGAGACTGGCAGATGGGTCATAAGGGGCCTCGGAGCCTGTCGTTGTAAATACTGGCTCTTGAGCTTCCGGAGGGAGGTCAGAGCCGGGGATGTTTCCATCTTTGCCACGTTTCTTCTTTCTCTTTTTGGCTGAGGGGGACGCTTTATTGTTCAATTCAGGTTCACTTGTTAAGTCCATGGAATCAGGATTCTCGCCTTCGTTCTCACTATCCGGAAAGAAATGTTTGTCCGTACTAAGATCCCCCTTTGGTCCTGAAGGAGGTGCAGACTTCAGTAAAGTCTCAGAGGCTTCTGCAACGTCATCTTCAGGAGCACCAGTGGGGTTGGTGTTCTTCTTTTCCCTCTTACTACCTCGTGTGCTGTCTCTGTCGCTAGATCTCAACTTAGTAGCACCAGGAGCATCTCTGGCAAAGGAGTCAAATCCAGGCTGACCTTGTTCATCCTGGTCTAAGGGTCTTTTTCAAGTCTGTCTCCCCACCTTTTTTGCTCCCCCTACTCCCTCTCGTACCATTATCTCTTTCTAAGGTACCTTGACCTTCGTCATCTTTACCTTGACGATCACCTTCACCTACGTAAGATGACCTCTGACCTCCCTGGCCCTTACTTCCTGTGCTGGCACGTTTGCTTCCGTTTCTTTCAAATGTCCCTTCGTCTTTCTTCCACTCAGCTGCGTTGCCGTTCTTATCCATATTCAACTTCACATTAGTGTCTCTATCATACGGTTCATAGGAATCGTCATACGCAGAGTCCAATCTCTGGCCATTGTTGGTTCTGTACCCTTGACCCTGACCATCCGTGTTGAAGCTGTTAAGTTGTCTACCTTCTTGGTTACCGTTTCTATTCTCATTCTTCTGATAGAAGTTCCGGCCCAGTTTTCTAGGTTGGCCTGGTGTGTACTGCCCATTGGTAACACTAGTCCACACCCCAGGATCTCTATAGTCAATGGCAGAGCCGAGAGACTCAGACTTTTCCCAAATGGCCGCCATTCAACTCTCCCATAGACGTTGTCTTAGTGACGGACACGTTGTCTTCCTCTTCGGGATAACCTCCGCCGTAATAGTTGCCAAACCTGCCTGATTTGTAGCACCAGAGGATAAGTATGACGACGACAAACAACGCCACAATGCCGATGACGATGCCAATGATTGCTCCCGGGGACAACTTGTTGGTGCCTTCCACGTATCCACCCTCATCAATATCACCTGGAACATGATAACAAGGTCATTCTTATTTTATTAACCAAAGCGTTCGTTTCAATCCATTTTCTTTCTTTGAAAACTCAATAAAATCAGTAAATCTACACTATGTGTCTAAACAGATTTAAGAACGTTCACAAAACACGAGTTCATATAATGATAAATGTGAATTGAAACATACCGAATATCGCTCAACAAGCGTGACGCACGATACTTACGGTAAGTCCTTATCTTGAAGACGAAGTCGTATGCCGTCTGGTACAGTGTAGAGGGTCTCGTAAACCTCACAGTTGCCTCCCTTCCATCGGTGTACAACGTGTCCGTGCTCATGCTGTTGCAACCAAGACTCCTCTGGAAACATTCAATAGGTTGGGCTTTAAAATATAACTGCGAGAAAATAGTGCGTGAATTTTCATCGTCCCTCTCGTAAGAGGGGACTAACGAAATCGGGAGGTCAGGCTTGCTGACTTGGTTGACACATGTCATCATATCCCAATTACGTAGATTTATGCTCATGCTGTTGACCACTGGATTGTCTCTCGATTACTTACAGATCGCCGCCATATAGCTGGAATATTGCTGAGTACGGCGTTAAACAACAAGTGAGTGAGTGAGTTTTACGCAGCACTCAGCAATATTCCAGCTATATGGCGGCGGTCTGTAAATAATCGAGTCTGGACCAGACAATCCAGTGATCAACAGCAGAGGCGTCGATCTGCGCAATTTGGAACCGATGACATGTGTCAACCAAGCCAGCAAACCTGACCACCAGATCCCGTTAGTCGCCTCTTACGACAAGCATGGGTTACTGAAAATCAATTCTAATCCGGATCTTCACAGGGAGACAAGTATGGGTTACTGAAGATCAAGTCTAACCCGGATCTTCACGGGTACGCTAAACAACAAACAAAGATACAAATCATCGCCCCTCCCATTTCAATACTGTTCATGGGCGATAGTTTCATTTGATAATCGTACGTATTTATCAGTTTGGCGAACTATTACACGAACATTGTCCATAACGAATCCCTTGATGCAGTGCATGAAAAAAATATTTCTCGCCCAGGAATCTCATAAACTACCTAAGTAAAAACAAAGCAATATTACCTTGAACTGTTTGAACATTTTAACGGGTTGATAAGAAATATATATAATTATGTGAAATGGCTTTATGTGCAGTGAACTTCTGTAAAAGAAAGCACAACACTGGATAGTATTCGTTGAAGATGTTGATAATAATGGGACGTTACAGAAATATTGAAAATAATATGAAAAAAACAAACTAAACCTTGGCTTCAAGTGGACATAACTGTGTCAGTGTCATCAGAAGGTTTGTATTTTGTGAGATTTACATTTCTAAATGAATTTGCGCATGAAGTATATTAAGATTTCTAATACCATAAGAATAAAACAGTGGAGCTGGGGTATTGGGTGCTTTAAGCTCGATTTGAATTTTGATAATAGGGTACGATTTCTTACGTTCAAGAATTCGATTGTCCATGGGGAAAACGAAACATCGAAACATAAACCTTTCTGTTGGAGAATTACAGGCACTTACCAAACTAAAAGCAACAAATACACTCGCTAATAATATGAAAACCGACATCAACGACGACTCACCAAGTAGGTCCCGTAGGCCCCTCTGCCGTTGAAGACGTCCACGTGCACCTTACAGTCCTGGATGTCTATAGCTTCGATTATGATCTGCAGACGATATCTGCCGTCTGATTCAGTGTAGCCAGACGTCAAGTAGACGGTGCACTCAAGAGGGGGATTAGCAGGGGCGGCGTTAGATCGGCCGTTCAGGACCACGTCCTTGTCGAAGACGGAGACGTCCTGTCCGCACGTAGCGAAACGGTCCATGTCGTCTGGAGTATTTAATAGTTACATATGAGGAAGGTGAGTGAGTGAGTTTAGTTTTACGCCGCATTCAGCAATATCCCAGCTATATGGCGGGGGTCTGTAAAAAATGGAGTCTGGACCAGACAATCCAGTGATCAACAGCATGTGTATCGATCTACGCAAATGGGATACGGTGACATGTGTTTACCAAGTCAGCGAGCCTGACCACCCGATCCCGTCGCCCCTTACGACAAGCATGGGTTACTGAAGATCAATATTCTAACCCGGATCTTCACCGGTATATGAGGAAGGTACAACATAAATGTATGGTATAAGAACGGTGCTAAAATCTAAAACAGTCTAAACTTTTCGCACCGCTATTATGAAAGTTATATATTGGAAGATATATATTTTTCATTCTTTGCCATGTGAAATATACAATGCACGTACACATGCGAAAAACCTTTACGATCTAATCAGGTCCTGAAATCTTCAAACAATAGTCAGTGGGTGAGCATAGTTTTACACCGCTTTAGCCATATTCTAGCAATAACAGGGCTTTCTACGTTGACATAAATGCAAGGAATCGAACCTGGGCCTTGGCGTGACGAGCGAACTCTGTAACCACAGAGCTACCCTACCGCATCATTCCAACAATATAAGGTCTTTGCATGGCATTTAGAAGTGATACACATGAAGAGTGAATTATATAGATGTCAGCTTCCGTAATATGAAAGACACGACGTGACTACTCAGTCATCAGGTGTAACTGTGAGGGACATCACAAACGGACTTCGTACATTGTATACTAGTACATGGAGGAATCGAACCCAGACCTGACGAATGAGTGAGTATAGTTTTACGCCGCTTTTAGCAATATCGTCAATATCACGGCGAGGGACACCAGAAATGGGCCTCACACATTGTAACCATGTGGGGAATCGAACCCGGGTCTTCGGCGTGACGAGCGAAAGTTTTTAATCGCTAAGCTACCACACCGTCCCTCTGACAAATCACCTTAAACAGTGTTCAGTTAAAAGAGAATTTTGAGGTTGGGTTGCCCTTATTTCATCTAATGAAATACTTCGAAATGTTTGCAACAGGACGTACCTCCCTAACACATTCCCCGTGTATATCCACCATGCGTCTTATGCAACATCGACATCTTGAGGATTTAGGACGTAAACATTGTCCGGCTAGTGCACTGAAATCTCCGCCTCACATTCTGACTTTCATTTTGTTGCACGTACTTCTCATTCCCGATTAATGAAAGAAACACACGTGAAGATCCGGGTTAGAATTGGCCTCTCATCTACCAATGTTTGTCAAAATAGGCGACTAACGGGCTCGTGTGGTCGGGTTCGCTGACTTGGTTGACACATGTCATCGTATCCCAATATCTCGATAGGTATGATGTTCATTATGTCAATCACTGGATTGTCAGGTCGATTATTTACAGCGACAGCGATCATATAACTTGATTACTGCTGAGTGCAGCCTTATACAACAAACAGGGGAGGTGGGCTAGCCTAGTAGTTAAAGCGTTAGCTCGTCACGCCGAAAACCCGGGTTCGATTCCCCTCGTGGGTAGAATGTGTGGAAACCATTTCTAGTGTCACCCGTCGTGATATTGCTGAAATATTGCTAAGAGCGGTGTAAAACATTACTCGCTCACTCATTAAACAACAAATAATAAACAAAGGGAAAATGTGAACTCACAGATTCTGTCCTGGGCTGAAAGCAGTGTAGTCAGACTGGACACAGCCAGCACTACTGACCAAATCGAGATTGTATCCATAATGCCACGGGACATTCAGATCAAAGGGCAGTCACTTTGACCACTTGGTGACAGCATCTGGGAATGACAAAAACACGAAGGTAACAGTTGGTAATCAAATATGTTGTCTTGTAAAAACAATGTGTACATATGGATGTTAGCTAGTTGAGAGTTTGTATATTAAACATCAATCAGTCAAGTTTATTTTGTAATTCAGGCCACGTTGCCCATAGTGCCCGTTTTTAAGATAAAATGTAATTAGGTCATATATCCAGAGAGTTACATCTCTGTCGATCTCATTTAAATACATTTCTGGTGTCCCCCGCCGTGATATTGCTGAAATATTGCTAAAAGCTGCGTAAAACCAAACTCACTCATTTTATATAACTTGCATAAATATAAAGCTGTTATGCGTAGTACATATATATCACAGGAGATATTTTTTCAACAATTAATGGAAGACTATTTCTCAAGTGTGTATATTTCTTACATATAAAAAGGCATGGTATTCATCTTCTACCAAATGAAGTTTTTACATACAGATTCTGTATGATCCATATTAAACAATGACCTTTTACCAACATTGTATATCTTGACATCCTGGAGTGGCATATGTCATAGATATACATCATTATATAAATCTTGACATTGTGGATTGGCATATGTCAAAGATATACATCTTAGATATATCTTGTCATTGTGGATTGGAATATGTCATAGATATACCTCTTCGCTTTATCTTGACATTGTGGATTGGCATATGTCCTAGATTTACATCTTAGATATATCTTGTCATTGTGTATTGGCATATGTCAAAGATATACCTCTTCGATTTATCTTGACATTGTGGATTGTCATATGCCCTAGGTATACATCTTAGACATATCTTGTCATTGTGGATTGGCATATGTCAAAGATATACCTCTTCGATTTATCTTGACATTGTGGATTGGCATATGTGATAGATATACATCATTAAATAAATCTTGACATTGTGGATTGGCATATGTCATAGATATACATCTTAGATATATCTTGTCATTGTGGATTGGCATATGTCAAAGATATACCTCTTATATATATCTTAAAATTGTGGATTGGCATATGTCATAGATATACATCTTTCATATACCTTGACATTGTGGATTGACATATGTTATAGATATACATCTTAGATATATCTTGTCATTGTGGATTGGCATGTGTTATAGATATACATCTTAGATATATCTGGTCTTTGTGGATTGACATCTGTCATAGATATACATCTTATATATATCTTGACACTGTGGGTTGGCATATGTCATAGATATACATCTTAGATATATTGTGAGATTGCGGATTGGCATATGTTATAGATATACATCTTAGATATATCTTGTCATTGTGGATTGGAATGTGTTATAGATATACATTTTTTATATATCTTGTCTTTATGGATTGGCATATGTCATAGATATACATCTAAGATATACTTTGTCATTGTGGATTGACATATGTTATAGATATACATCTTAGATATACTTTGTCATTGTGGATTGAGATTAATTTATAGATATACATCTTTGATATATCTTGTCATTATGGATTGGAATATGTCATAGATATACATCTTAGATATACTTTGTCATTGTGGATTGACATATATAATAAATGTGCATTTCAGAGATATTTTGTCATTGCGGATTGTTATATATAATAGATATACATCTCAGATATACCTTGGACATTGCAGATTGGCATTTATAATAGATGTACATATCGTAGATATTTTGTCATTGTGGATATGCAAATATCATAGATATACGTCTCAGATATGCTAGTATATCGTCTGGCGTATATCATTTGAACGGTTTTTCTTTATTGAACTTATTACACACTGACAATAGTTCAGTTCCACACAAGGAGTTAATTAGTATATTTAGACTATGGCTGAAATGACAACTCGTCATGGCGAACGTCCCTCTGAGTGGGACATTGTCACAAACCAAACAGAATTCAAATACTATCGACTTGGCAACTTATTAGATACAAATGCACTTATATGCAGCATGTAACAAACTATTTAGACAGTGGGTTACGTTCTAATTAAGCGGTAGTATTATGATCATATCATCATAAAAATGAAACAATGCTACTGTGAAATTAGGGGGAGAGAATATACCACCAACTGCATCACACTGTGACTGACCTAATCATGTTTATTCGATAACCTTTGTAAATTTTGTCAGGACCGATCGATCCAAGGTGCTACGTGTGAACATCGTCCGTTACAAACACCATTCTTCGTAGATCAAGAGTTCACGGTACAAAGAAGTGAACAGGTGAATAGTATATTTCATGATGATTTCAAAACAAACAACGTAAGATATAAAGTTTGAAGGTTCTTAGGACAAGATCGAGTTATTAGGCTTAATTTCTGATACATCTAGTGTGTTAGATAATGATATACATTACCTGTATTGTATATGTTATGTAACGATCCTCCTTAGAAACGTGAATATTCACTTCCTCGAAATAGTTTCCCACAGTGTCACGGCAGACGCCATATTGGACGGTGACCTGGATATTGCAATTATCGGAGCCTTACCTGGTTAGGCTATACTAGTCGACAACAGCAAGTACAATGCGTTTTGCTACACATTCAGTACTGTACATTTTCAGTCTTATTACGATCAGTAATTACTTGAAAGACCAGTAGTAATACCAGTGTCGTATTTTAAACATAATTTAAGGTGATTTTAAGAAATTGGATGCGCAAAACCCTATAAGGGTTCGAATCCTGATTATGTTTCCGAGTTGGTCAGTACCACACCCGTAGATCCCCCAGTGTGGTATACACGCCCAAGACCTGCTTCACATTCGGGCTTTCCTTCGACATTAAGCTGACACGCTGTGATATGTCTGAAACACTATTCAAAGGGGCGTCAAACCCAAGTCACTCACTCACTCTCACCCATCCACACTGAGGCTGAATGCCTCCAACTAACAATTATTTCATATGGAAAATATATATAAAGCGAATCATTACTTAAATATCTAGAAACAACAACACAAGTGTCTGGCAGATAGCCTTGTATGGCGAAACTGTGTGTGTGCATAGATTACATGCTCGAGTACCAATAAACCCAGTGTCACTGTGTGTTTCCTGGTGTTATCGAGGCTCACAAGAGACAGGCGTTGTTTATGACTGAAGTTTGCTGGTTTACAACCTGGCATGTTGTGACCCTAACGTGTGAGTCATTATCCTAGTATTACAGCTACTGCGGGTGGCACCAAAGTGGTTCACCTGTCAATGCGCGCATGTTAACATGTTACTGGTTACCTTGTAGGTGAACATTGGCTTTCACACAAGCGCCGGTACGTACTTTTTTGCCACATATCTCTCTCTCTCTCACTCTCTCTCTCTCTCCCTCCTCTTTCTCTCTCTCTCTCTCTCTCTCTCTCCTCCTCTCTCTCTCTCTCTCTCCTCTCTCTCTCTCTCTCTCTCTCTCTCTCTCTCTCTCTCTCTCTCTCTCTCTCTCTCTCTCTCTCTCTCTCTCTCTCTCTCTCTCTCTCTCTCTCTCTCTCTCTCTCTCTCTCTCAGATCGGTCAGACCGGTGGTTGATAGAAATAGTAACAATCGATATCGTCTCTTTAATCCATGTCACTCATGCGACCAGCCGATCCTCCTTTTTCCACCAAAGTGGAACTATTATAGTCCGTCAATCTAACTTTTGGAACACGGTTTTTTGCAAGTTACGTTTAAACAACAAAAGGTACCCAGCTTTTATTCGCTCAGTTAATAATGATATCTGACGACCTAATTGGGTGTTGAATTGACGAGTAGTGAGGGATGTAATTTGGCCTTTACACAAGTCGAATGAGGCTATATCTTCCAGAACGTATTGTGATTGACGAAATTTGTAACGTCCCAGTAGATTTGTGGAAAATTGTGTAGATCACGTTTTGCAAGTAGAAGAACAATATTGGCAAAATGATGGTTTGAAAACAGAAACGGTCACACCATTGATCATAAATTTGGACTCAGAATCTGACATTGATATTGAAGTCGGGGTTTGTGGCACATCGGAATCTCAATCTGACCATTGATATGTTCTCATAATACATTCCTTTACCTTTTAATACAAATGAATAATTAAAACATCTTTCTAAAATGAAAAAGTTTGGTGATACGGTCCCTTCTCGACATGTCAATACACAATCACGATGTTACCCAACCTGCACGTGCCACACACATTGCGACGTTGTTGATAGCTATTCCAGTACTTGCCAGTACTCCCTTGTGAAAATGTTGTTGTCAGAAACTTTATGTGTTAGTTTCTTAAGTAAAATCTTTAATAGTTGATATAAATTTTAGTGCTCAATTCAACACCCAATAGGTCGTCAGATATCATTATTAACTGAGCGAATAAAAGTTGTTTAAACGTAACTTGCAAAAAAACGTGTTCCAAAAGTTAGGTTGACGGACTATAATAGTGAACCGTTCTGGTCGAAAAAGGAGGATCTCGGAATCCCGGAATCTCCCGCGTGGATGCAACAGTAACCTTGGAAGTGATGAGGAAGATTTTAGGACATGTATGTAATTGTTGCGGGTGGGGTCGAATTATTAATCATATCATGCCCAATATGTTGTGCAGGTCAGTTCGAGCCCGATATGGATGCCTACATCCAACATCCCATCCCACAGGTTGATAACATTTGTTATACCACTAGGGTGTGTTATGTCCATTGTTCCGGCGGGTTGACTTTCTGCGTATCAACCTTCTGTCCGCACGTGCAGAGGTTGATATGTGGATAACGACCTGGTCGGTGCAGGAAACGCACGAGCAACAAGCAATTGTACGAGTCCATGCGGCGCCCTCGTGGTATAAGCAGGTTAGCACCCCCCCTCTGCGGGTGATGTGGATTCAACGCTCTCGCCTGACGGCTCGAGCGTTGAAATCCATATCACCCTTGAGGAGGGTGCTAACCTATACTTATACCACTAGGGTGTGCTATGTCCATTGTTCCGGCGGGTTGATTTTCTGCGTATCAACCTCCTGTCTGCACGTGCAGAGGTTGATATGTGGATAACGACCTGGTCGGTGCAGGAAACGCACGAGCAACAAGCAATTGTACGAGTCCATGCGGCGCCCTCGTGGTATAAGCAGGTTAGCACCCCCCCCCCCTCTCTGCGGGTGATGTGGATTCAACGCTCTCGCCTAACGGCTCGAGCGTTGAAATCCATATCACCCTTGAGGAGGGTGCTAACCTATACTCAGTTTGACTGGGACATTCCCGTTTTCATTAATCTCTGTCTAATCTGTCTAAAATCACCTGTGTTGCTTTTGGTCAAATGGGCCATATAATTATCTTTCTAAAGATCGAACTAGATGAATTATTGCATTATTTTCTTCCTAACTATTAAAATGTTTATGTTCAGAGATGAGAAATCAAACACACGTTGTGTAGAAAACTTCCTGTATGCAGCGATCGTGTTTCGCTTACACACCTGGGTTTTATCGACTAGAGTCACCTGTTGTGTCTCACCTGGGGAGCTATAAATAGAATACAAATGGCGTCCGGGTAGGAAGTGGTTGACACTTTGAATATCTGGAGGACGTATTTGGATAGGTAAGACATTCTATACGGTATCCAACAGATGGTGATACTACCATCAAGTAAGAATACCTCATTAACGTGATAAGAGGAATGTTAAACCTTGTGATATTGTTGAGAAACATTCAAGATATGTATTGTGATATGCTGTCGTCGATGCCGATTGTGGGGTCCAATATCGTCACGTCTTCATGAAGGACACCATCGCGATTCTCAGCTGTGAGATACTAATTTAAGTCAATGCAGGTTAACAGATACCTCTTCTGTTTGGTTTAAATCATAGGCATGTGACTCTCACCTTGGAGAAAAATATGGGAAAGAGTTCCTTCCGTTCCCCCAAACCTAACCCTAACCCTAACTTAAATTTTGGACTTTTAGTCATTTTGTGAGTTCTCTAGTAATTGTTGTGTTAAGTTTTGTTAATGATTTTTGTATATTTATAAATATTATTTGGGATGGGGGAACAGGAGGAACTCTTACCAAAATATGTCTTAAACAATGCTTCAAAATATAAAATTCACAAAACCTTCACCATGTTCACACATGCTATTGTATTTGCCAATGTGCATCATTCTGCCACAAGTATTCAGCAACATGTCAGATGTTCCCTTGTTTTTATCATTAAGTATACCAGTTCTTGCTCCAGTCATATGTTTAATTGTTGGTTCAAACACAGTAGTGCATGGGGTAGCCCAGTGGGGAGACGGTGATTTCGTAGACTGAACCAGTTCGTAGACGCGGCGGATTCGTAGCCCAGACTGGTTCGTAGACGGTGATTTCGTAGACGTGTATTAATAATTGAATAATAGTATATATTAATCGTAAAATGTAAAAAGACAGACAACATTGTTATGAAAGAGTGATCAACAACAATAGTGAAGCATATTTTATTATTTTAAGCATATTTTCATCGCCGATCATACTTACCTGATATATTTTATTTATTTCACAAAATGCAAACACTTTTCGGTTACATTAAAGTCATAATATCGATTTTCATCATCATTGAGGTTGAACTTTTCCCATTTTACTAACGTCTGCGAATCCACTGCTCAATCTGCCTACGAATCTACGTCTACGAACCAGTCTTGTCTATGAATTCACCTACAGCTGCCCAGTCGACACACACATTGACAGATTGTCACACCAAAGACCCGGGTTCATGAAGCCCACTTCTGGTGTCCCCTGCAGTGATACTGCTGGAAAATTGCTAAAAGCAACGTAAAACCACACCCATCCAACATAGTGGTAATTCATCACTGTGTGATATCTCTGCTCACATTTGGCTAGCTCGCTGACTTGGTTGACACATGTCATCAGTTCCCAATTACGCAGATCTATGTTCATGATGTTGATCACTGGATTGTCTGGTTCAGACTCGATTATTTACACTCTGCCGCCATATAGCTGGAATATTGCTGAGTGCGGCAAAAAATTAAACTCACTCACTCTCACATTTGGCTGACCATGTGGAGATATGACTAAACTATTAAGAGCAGCATTTAACCAAATTCACTCACTCACTCCAACCATTTCCAGTATCGTGTGACATGATATTGCTGCCATCAGCAAGGTCTGATTTAATACTATTGGGAGTTTGTTATACAGACTGTGACGCGTATCAGTGATATCATTACCATTTACTATGAGCTACATCAGGGTCTTTGTAACACATAGCAAATCTATCATTTTGAAAACTTTTGAAGTCAAATCTGCATAGTATTTCAGAATATGTGCAAACAAAATATAAATCCACCATACCTGCCAAGTCTCAACCCGTTCCCTTGAGACTCGCGCTTTAATTTGTCATGTCATGTTCTCACGACAAAACTGATACATCTCACAACAAAATTACGCGTACACATTTTGAGCGCCTCCAGGTTCACCCTGAAGCAGGCAGGAATGTGCACCCCTTGGACCCTGCCATCTCAAGCTTTTCTCTCTCTTGGTAACCCGTGAAGGTCCAGGTTAGAATATTGATCTTCAGTAACCCATGCTTGTCGTAAGAGGCGACTAACGGGATCGGGTGGTCAGGCTCCCTGACTTGGTTGACACATGTCATCGTATCCCAATTGCGTAGATCGATGTTCATGATGTTGATCACTGGATTGTCTGGTCCAGATCAGATTATTTACAGACCGCTGTCATATAGCTTGAATGTTGCTGAATGAGGCGTAAAACTAAACTCACTCACTCACTCACTCTCTTGGAAGCTCTGAATACAGTGTTATCATTTCTTTGTGTTACATGAATACACAATGCCATTTAGAAAGTGGTCAAATGTAACATATGTTACATTTAGGATTGCACTTTCTTAGTAAAGTACAGATTCTAGCACTTTTGTTGGGTTGAAGCCGCAGTGGCTGAGCGGGTTGGGCGTCTGACTTTGTGTGCTGGCGATTAGGTGCCTGACTCTGAGTGTGTGGGTTTGAATCCCTGATGGTACTAAACCCAACCAAACAAAAGTACTAGAATCTGTACTTTACTAAGAAGTGTAATCCCAAATCAGAAACCATATACCGATATGGTCTCTGCCCAAATGTAATATGTGTTAATTTTTTTTGCATAGTTTGTAAAATATCTGTTTCTATTGTACAGGCATGTAATAAGAAAGGTCCTGAAACATGGATGCCTTGTGGACTGTGCTGGTCATCCTTCTCGTGACCCAAGTGGACATGGTCAAGCCTCAAGGCTCTGGTCCTGAAGCTACTCAAAACTTCCAGTGTGAGTATACATGTTGAAAGTTGTGTGAAAAAACAAATGTCACATAATTATTCTGAGTGAGGCCTCTTCACATCAATCAACACTTTAAATTTTGTGAGGTACAATCTCTGGTTCAAATAACAGTTACCGACATAAAAGTACCATTATTTAACCAGTTTTAGTGACAGAGTTCTCTTTCCTTGTCAGAATGGTGTAGCCATTGTTGCTTATGGGCCTTCTGCTGAGACTAAGATCAAGACTCTGAATTGAACATATCTAACAGAAAAAAGTGCTTAAATTATCTTAATATAATATAAAGGAGCCCAGAGATTCTCCTCATTTCCAGAAAATGTAGAAATCTAAACATGAAAAGGCAGTACCAGATATCGCACCAGACATAAACAGGTTGCACATGTACCTCAATATAAAATTACACGTAATGCTTGGGTTTTGCTGTTGATTTTTAGAACATTATAACAGAATTATTCTGGATCTAATAATAATATTGTTATTATTTATTGCTACATAAAATTTCATGCCAATGATATAATCATTTTATTACTGTCCATGTAGTCATCAGAATCACTGCAATCACTGCTCCAAACCAGTACCTCATCAATCTGTTTTCCAGCTGAAGTCAGAGTGTGTTCTTTAATCAGCAAATTATTAACATGCACTGGGTACAAGTTGGTATAAATACAAAATTGCATTTTGCAGTTTCAGTTTGCACCTGTGCAAGTTCTAAATGATTAAATCAAGCCCTGAGTTATGTTAGGAAATAATACACTGATTCAGATTAGTAATCATTCATACCCGTGTCAGTATGGGTTATTGCATAATGATCGTTTAAAAACTGACGACGTATTTTTGGGGCTTTTTTCGCATAGTTATACGTAGGCATACTTACCTGTTTCAACAGAAGGCACTCACTGACAGATTATACATGCATTAACGTAACCGATAGGCTGATTGGTCAACAGAAGCCAATCAGAATAATATTTACTGACATGATTTGCACAAGCTGTTCTATTTTAAGACACAGGTTTTCCAAGGTAACAGGATAAGTAATGATTCAGTAAGATGGGGCAGACTGAATGTAAATGGTAGAAAATGTATTGACAAAATTTTTTTTTTTTTAATGTATTCCTTAGAAAAGATTTTAATTTATTCCTTTCGATATCCAAGTCTCAGGGATCTGTGAAGCACAGTAGTATGGTGCATAAACTGAAGATCGAGGTATTGCGTTTGTTCAAGGATGTATATTGTGTAGACCAGTGGTGTTGGGAATTGGTTAAAATCTAATAGTTGATGATTGGTCCATCACAACCGATCAATCATCGAAAATAATTGGTAAGCGTCATTTATTAAATGTGCCTGTTATTTTTGTTAATGTGCACAATTTTTTTTTAACAAAACATGTGGTAATTTGTTTGTTTTTTGCAAATTGCTTTAAGTCCATTTGCAAATTTTGCATATTTAAATGATGATTAGTATGTTAGGAACACATATTTCCTGGATTCTTTGAGATAAATTCAGTCATGACTTGGAACGAGCTTGTAGTGCTTATGAAATGTAAATTTAATGACACAGACAAAACCAGCCTTGTGAAAAATATTGTTAATGCAAACAAGTGTTCCAAGATTGGTCGTGTTCGATTACGAGAAAACATGTTCGATTGCTTGGTCATTTAGTCACTGCGACCAATCTTCGGTTATTTCAATTAATCGGACCACCACTATAGACCAGTAAAGGTTAGTCTGAAACACATTTGTTTTACACACTCTTGGTGAATGTAGACATGAATAGTATGTTGCATTTATAATAGGATGCACTTGTTAATGTTCCATGCAACCCTGATTCACTCTCAATTAGACACCCCTTCTGATAGTAATAGACCGCCACCGTGGTGTAGTGGTTAGAGCGTCCGCCCGGAGAGCGGAAGGTCGCGGGTTTGATCCCCGATCACGTCATACCAAAAGACGTTAAAATATGGTACTTGTTGGTCCATGTCTGGCGCTCGGCATTAATGGCTACAAGGACTGGTCGGCTCGGAGTCAGTATAATGTGTCTGAGTGGGGTATTCATGCTTCACTGCGGCATGGTATCTCAGCGAGCTAGCACTATAAAACCAGTTTAAGTCTGGGCTAGTACAAGCAGCCACACATACGCATGCACGTCGTCATATGAGTGAAATATTCTCAAGCACGACGTTAAACCCAATTTCACCTCACCTCACCTCTGATAGTAATAAGTTGTTAATTTGCTGTATGCTTGCAGTTTTCATGGACAGTACGAAAGACTGCAATGGACCTGTGTACAATGTGTTCGACAAGCAGGCAGTAATAAAAGGTCAGAGTTCGGCGTCGATACAATCAAGTCCTCTGTCGTGTACAATAAGGTTGAACACAGAGAACAACTTTGAGAAGACAACATTCCCGGGTGACCGTCAACGCCATGAACATTGATGATTGTGATGTCACTTTGGCAATATACGATGGAGAACCTGGACAGCCATTGATAGTAAGTTGCCATGGTTACATGCAAACTCTGATACAGTGATTTACAGGAAGTATATCTCTTTTGACCATGCAAGTAAATGTGAACACCTGACTGCAATCATGTGTGAGTATTAGAGTTCAGATAAAATAAATTCCTATAATCCATCTTCATTGACAGACTGGCATTCTTTGCAAGGATTTACCTCAGGGACCATTCATAATTTATGGCTAGAGGGGGTTTATGAAGAAGCATGTTCAATGTGAATGCCCCTCCCTAAAATGTGTGTACAAAGTAGGTGATCCCCCCCTGCATTTCTGATGGCCCCATACACGTGCAGTAGCCCCATACATGTGCGTGGTGTGTCATTCTTGATTTTGACGTTTTTCAAGAAGTTCGATAAATCACTGTAGAGCCTAAATTTTGACAATCATCTTGCATCACGCAGTTGTTAGAGTACTTTTATAGCCATTTTTTTTCTGTTTGAAAATGAAAATCGTACACATGCAAATTTCACGTACGCCAATCATCTTTCAAGAGCGATTACAATACAAACAACTATGGCCATAAGGAAGTGCAAGTGGTGAAGCACTCTCAAAACATTCATTATTATCATATCAACATTGATTGACTCCGATATATCTCCCGATTTTGATCAATCGTAAATTAAAAATGAAGTTCCCCTACTTTTCTTAAGAGTTTATTTTATACTGATTTGCTGTGAACTACATGGTTCAAATATGAATGAATAATGTCAAAAACTCAACTGATGTATGAAATTATAAATGAGTGCATGAGTACCCACGTTAGCTTTTTCAATTTTCATTTGTGTATTTCCTTGTGGCTATTTATTTGCTATTTGAAATGTTCATGTGAGTAACGGGGGTGGTGGTTTAGCCTAGTGGTTAAAGCGTTTGCTTGTAACGCTGAAGATCCGCATTTCGATTCTCCACATGGGTACAATGTGTGAAGCCCATTTCTGGTGTACCCCGCTGTAGTAATGCTTTAATATTGCTAAAAGCAGCTGAAAACCAAACTCACTCACTCAGGTGAGCAACTTCTTAGTGACTCGGAAAACTACATCTGAGGCATTATACCATATGTAGTTTTACTGTTCGGGTTGAAACCGTTGGTTAGTATTAGTATTGAAATACTGATAACTTGGGCTGTGAAAATAAATTGGACTGTATATGGTTCAAAAAGTATCCTTTTGTGACATTTGACCAATGTGAAGGGAAAAAGCATCACTGTCTCTGGTTTTGTGGATGGCCCAGTTGTCTATGGTGCCACCTCTTGCTGATCTCTGATTGTGGGTTTGAATCTCTGTTAGGTCCACTAATGTTTCTAATGGAGCGGCCTAGTGGTTAAAGCGTTCGCTCATCTTTGATTCCCCACATGGTATATTGCTAAAAACAGCATACCGTATATTACCGTAGATAAGCAGACCCCATAGATAAGCTGACCCCCTAACTTGACCCTTAAAATCAGTGTCAAAATGGTATGTTTCGTACATAAGCCGACCCCCATGATGGGGTCCTAATTGCGGCAAACTCAGACCACAGACAACTGATAATTATAACTTCTGTCCGCATTGATTAAAGACTTCACAGTCATATTGTGTCTACTCACGCCTCGAAATGAAGTGTAGTTGACAGAAAATGGATAATATATTTTGTTTCGCTAAATATCATACTTATTGTAGCTAGACGATCACATGTCAACAAACTGACTTGCTTATGTTACCCCATTCCGTGTGCGTACAACTTCTGCTTACCATGTTCGTGAGGGTACGTTTTTCGCTCAAACTGCGATAACAATTTCACATCATATTATCAACAATCACGAACTAATTACCGCCTTATTATCCACGGACCGCTAGTTTAAAGTAACATCGGTGAAAACCTGTGCTAATTTAAATGGCATGTTTATTTCACCTCATTCCATGAGCGTTCAACTTCCACTTACCATGTTCATGAGGGTCCGTATTACCTGAGTGTTGATTGTACATATTTTACATTTATAGAGCGATTCAACCTGTAGTTAAAATTACACAATGCTAGGATATATTTCTTTGGGTTAAATAATAGTTTTATGTATTATATTTTACTGATCACAGAATTCATCCCGTTATATTATTGTGTATGTTTTAACTAAATCACGGTAGATCGCCAGGACACGTGTGCACAGCTGATTGCTATTTCCGGCTCTGCATAAGAGACAAATACACATGGTAATCATAATCCCTGCAAATGATACAATGCCCAGCAAAATCAAATTAGAACTGGAAAGGTAAATAATCTTGTCTAGTGATGTGTAATTGCAAATTTGACGTCTTTACTGACAAAGGTGTCTTCTTTTGTTTGTTTGTTCACGTGAAGCGATCCGATGTCATTTTCTTAACCCCTGGAAAAAAGTTTGACGAAAGTGTAACCCATAATTAAGCCGACCCCCTTCTACAGACTGCTTTTTTTCCCCTCAAAATTCGGCTTATCTACGGTAATATACGGTAAACTAAACTCACTAATGTTGTTAGGTTTGTCAGCACCATGCCTGTGCTGTGGAGTTTCATTAAAATGGTCACATGATAAATGCTACATGGTAAATCATTTCAGGCACTCATCAACTTCAAGCCAACATGCCATGATATGACAGAAATAACCAATTCTCCCACAGAAAGTCATGTTGATTGTTAGTCAGTGTTTTTGTTCAGCAGCACTGAAATCAGTATTCCAGCGAGAGCAGAACTGTCTGTAAATAGCAGTCTGGACCAGTCAATCCAATGATTGACATCATGAACATAGATGAGCGCAGTTAAGATAATGAGCAGTGTGCGAAATCTATGCTGGTCCTGTGGTCCCAGGCTAGTAAAATTCATCAGTACCACTAAATGATAAGTTTCCAGTGGTCCTGGTGACCAGTGAATTTTGTATTAATAGTTACGTAAATCTACGAATGTTATTTTGGACCAGTGAAGTACAGACAGGACCACTAATTATTGTCCACTCACTGGTCCTGTGGTCTAGAGGGATGTTTTGAAAGGTTTCTTTCCCTGATGACTCAAATTGAATCAAGTTACTGAGATACTGGATCCTTTTGGACACCACTTACAACAAGTATGGTTTATCTGTAGGCCTGGCTATTGATATGGATTATAGAGATTGATCATCGTTTAATAAATATTGATCAATTATTGATAAATAGCGGAGAAGCAACTTTGAACAAAAATGCCAAAATCTGAAAGACATCAACATATTTGACTTCACTGGTGAGTGGTAACATATTTATGCTTGGATTAATAACCAAAAAGCGTCCTGAACATAATTTAGAAGCAGTCCATTAAAATAGACTTACGTTTATGTATATGAAAAAATGAAAACTGTATATTTTTTCTTATCCTGACTCATGTTTATTTGCTTGTCTTCTTCTTCTGGCGAACCTAGTGGAACACTTGTATCTCCCAATTGAAGCTCCCTTCAATAAAAAATCACTCATTAGTACTCACCCCGAGTTATCTCCCTTTCGGTAAGCGCGGGAAGGAGGGCGCCACCCAAGCCCATGTGCCTCACTCTCTCCTTCGCCCAGTGAGCTGGACGTGAGAGCACCTGTGTCTCCCAACACATATATCCTTTATTTAAATCTAGTTTAGTTCCTCTTATACGCTAGTATAGAGGTAGTGCTAGTATATTTATTCAATTTGCATTGATTATTAATTGTGTTTCTGCTGTTTATTCACGCTTTGCCGTGATTGTTCAGTAGGCTACATTAATGAAAATTTGCACAGATTGTAAACTACGTTACTCTGATACCGATCCTCATTTAAAATGCCCTAGTTGCATTACTCCATGTTCCTTTGATTCTCGTTGTAAATTGTGTAGCAATTTACCTATCTCTGCCTTTGACAAATATTTATGTTCCGTTTACAGACGGAAGGCAGATAAATCTCGTAAACGGTTTCTAACATGGCTAATACATCGCAAATTAATGTTTCATGTCAACTGTTGACTGAGGACTCGTCACCGGCTGGTGGCATGCCTGAGTTTCCCTCGGAGGATAAGCGTGGGACGCAGTCCGCTATGTCCAAGAAGCGACCTGCATCTCAAGAGCTGCCGTCGTCTCAGTGCAAGTCGAGGAAACTAGCCATATCATCTCGTACTCTGCGTACTCCAAGATCTACACCGTCATCTAAAGGGAAGTCAACTAAATCTAATAAATTTGCCTCTGATATCTTACCAGTTACAGAATTAGCATTATATGATGATGATATGCCTATTATCATTCCAGAAGTTCGTCACAAGAAACGGCCCGTTTCTGCGACTATCACCTCAGCGCAGATGGACACACAACTGGAGATGCCGACGCTATCACCAATACGTTTATCTGAGGGTCCGTCACCTCTGCAGAGACATCCCCCATCAACGCAGAACGTCCCAGATGACTTGATCAACCACATTATGAGAATGATGGAAGACCGCTACGGCTTACAGAGGCCTCAGAGCCACGGGCCCTAGAGCCCACCCCATACTAAGTCATACAGGGCCCCAGAGCCCGCCTTGACTTCGCGTAGGGCCCCTGAGCCCATAGACGTGCCTCCACGAAGGGCAACCCTGCCCGGAGTGAGCTCTTTGCACAAGGTATCCCAGGCCGCCTCCGGGAAGGAGCTAGAGTCTGATCCTTTGCAAGAGGCTTCGCGGAGAAGGAGTGCTTCGCCTAGCAAGCACCTTGTCATGTACGAAGGGTGTTCGCAAAGCAAGCACTCATATGTCGGAGCGGACACTGACTCCAGACATTCGCGCAAGACGCGAAGGCTAAGTGGTTCTACAACGCCTACAAGACGTTCACAAGCCCTCAACGCTTCGAGAAGCCCAGGCGTCGGCCGAAGCCATCAACGTTCAGCGTAGCCCACAGTCTCCGAAGGATGTCGTCTCCAAGATCTGCATACACTAGCCACTCGTCAGTCCGTTCTCCTCAGTCCACACATAGATCTTCTTACAGATCGAGGTCTCCGACATACGACCATACGTCAG